TGGTAAAGTAAATCCGTTGGGCATCTTTCTTTGCCTTTAGACAAAAATTCTGATGCAAAAGAGCCAAACGGGACAGGCAGAAAAAAACTCCATTTACTTCAGAGATGATGAGATCTCCTTCTTGGTGGCTTTGGGCCATATTTATAGTCCTCCCCCCCCTCTTTAGCCAGCTCTGCCAGGTTGAGGTAAACCCTCAGCCTCTCTGCGGTCTATTGCTTGGGCTGCGTTCCACCTCCATCCTGTACGGACCTGTACGCTGGCATTTCGAATGCCTCGGTCTGCTGACGTGGTGGCTTCATGACTAATGTCATGGTGATGTCACACAGCTTCAGCGGCTATATGATATGAGATAAACTGGTAACACCAAACCTTAACTTTCCCTGGCAAGAAGCACAGATCGATCACACCAGCAGCTCCTCCAGCCTTCTCCTTGGACTCAGCTCTCCTCCATGATTTTCTCAGGTGATGTTGTTCCTTTACCAGCTGTAGGTGTTCTCTTTCTCACCATCTTCTATTTCATTTCAAACTTGGGATCATTAGCACTGGCTGTGATAACTCCTCACAGCCACTGGTACTGGATGCTGCCACACACCTTCACTCACTCTGTGTTAACAGACCTCTGTGCACTGAATCACTTCCACAGCATGTCTTGTATTCCATCTCTCACCCTGAGGTGGACCCTACAATAACACACATTTATTATATTAATATAGCACAAGGTTCAGTTAGCTTTGCAAAAAAATAGCTGGTAGAAACATCCTTCAAAGAGCTACAAGTTACTTTCTTACTCTGAGTACATTTCATAGCCTGTACCTTTACTTTAAATCTATATTTTTACCAGAGTATTTTTGTAACACAATTATTTGTGCTTATGACTGAAACTAAGCTGACCGTTCAGAGTGTGAGAGGTTAAAGCAGCTCTGCCACATTTGCAGTGTTGGGAAGGTTACTTTTAAAATGTATTCCATTACAGATTACAGATTACATGCCCCTAAATGTATTCTGTAACCTATTCCGTTACGTTACTCGATGAGAGTAACGTATTCTTAATACTTTGGATTACTTAATATGTTATCATGCTTTTTACAACAACATGAATGTACTATTGCTGTGTGATTTATTACTGTAGACTCCGAACTGTAGTAAAGGACCTCTGGCTGATACGTCGGGTTCGTGTCGGCTCGTAGCCGAAAAATAGCTTTACTTTGTTGTCTGGGTCGACTTTGCTAGCAGAGACAGAGAGAGGCGTTGAAAGGCTCCAACAGAACTTATTGTTTCAGAGGAAAACAGGAACACAGCGTACAGTCGAGTCTTAATAGCTTACTTACAACTGGGCTCGTCAGGCTCTCTTCTTGGCTGCAGTGGTTATTATTATATTTACATGCTTCCAGCTCCCGTTTTTGCTTGATGACAACTCCTACTTTTCCTTTTTCTCCCTCCTCGCTCACAGACACATAACGGGTATGGCAGTCCATTCTCCCTGCAACACGGACTACACTGCCTATGATGCTACATTCTTTAGAGCAGGGGTCACCAACACGGTGCCCGCGGGCACCAGGTCGCCCGCGGGCCTGTTCTAAAAATAGCTCACCATAACAACTTACCAGTAAGCTGCATCTATTTTTATTTTTTCTTGCTATTTTTTTTAATCACAATTGCATTGGCGTTAATTTGTTAGAGATAATATATAAAAAAAATGTTTATTATTAAATATTAGATCATGATCTAATATTTAGTGCTAGCTGGTCTCCACGGAAACAGTTGCCGTGAAGACCAGCAAAGGCAAAGGGGAGGAGATGAGGAAAACATGGCGGAAAAAAGGAAGAAAACATATAATTTTCACAGTGAATGGGAGGAAGAGTTCTTTTTTACCACTGTGAAAGATTCATGCGTGTGTCTCATTTGCGGGGCAACTGTGGCAACGGCAAAGCGGCACAACGTGGAGAGACATTTGAACGGTCTCATGCATCAAGGGACACACTGCGCGAGCCGGAAAGAGTGGCAAACTTTTTCGAACGTAAAATCAAAGAACCAACTATAAGCTACAATTTCTGATTAAGAAAGATTTAGACGGATATTAAGCTAGAAATCAACTCTTGCGAATATGGAAACTGTAATCTACTTCTATTAGCTGCATACTGTAGAAGTTGGCTGTCCGGACTTGCCTCATGCAGGACGGCAAAGTCATTGGTTTAGCATCCATGTGACGAGTCGACCAGCATAAGCAAGCGAGTTTTACGAGGATTGATGTCTCCAAGAGAACTTCGACCTACTCTAAACAACAGGAGTGAATTAAAGCGGAGGATTTGAAAGGTCGTGGAAAATGACAGGACACGACGGGTGTATGACGCGACATGATACGATGTAGGTCAATTCCCAACCATGAAATGCAATTACGGGCGTTAGGAAGATGGCTTCAGCCGTCTGTCGTGTGAATTAAACAGCACCTCAGCTAACACCGAACTCAGTAGAGGAGCTGTGCTGAAAGGTGCCTGTAATACGAATCGTGGCTAAGGGACATTCTCGTTTTGTCTTTGGGGACAGGATCATGATGGGAAGCACACCGAGGACACTGATAAGACGCGTTCAACATACGAAACTGAACAGATTGAGACAAGTAATTTCACATGAAAGTCTAGGTAACCAGATGACATTCATTACAAGAAAGCTCATTTCTGCAGATGTGCTGGAAAGCTTCTACTGAGACTTGACAAAGTTGCGAAAAGTACCAAGTCTAACCACTTGGTCAAGAGTTTGAGAACAGGTTTTGTGACCTTGATCAGCTTGAGCCATGTGTCTCATTTGTTTCCAATCCTTTCATGAATGTGGACACAACATGCATTGCTGAGCAACTAAGTTCAATGTTCAGCTTGGATGCTGGACAGGTGGAAATCGAAATTGTAACATTGCAAAATGACGTCCACCTCAAAGCCTATCTGGGTGCACCAAACTTTTGGTGCCTTGTTGACACAGAAAAGTACAGTGGTGTGTGCACAGCAGCTATGAAGGTTGCCAGCCTGTTTGGTTCAACCTATCTTTGTGAATCAGCCTTTTCTGACATGAACTTCATCAAGAACAAACACAGAACACGCCTCTCCGATGCACATCTGCAAGACTCACTCAGAGTTGCAGTGTCAAGTTATACCCCAGATTACAACACACTGGTGAACAGCATGCAATGCCAGGTTTCCCACTAACAGACAAAGAAAGCCATATTAGATGTTCTCAGTGGCAACATTACAGTGTCATGTCAAAGTTGAATTTAATTATTGAAAAACAAATGTGTTTGTTAAGTGTAACATGTGACAATTTGCTTTAAAATGCTGCCAATTTGGTGAAAAGTTCTGTAAAATTTGAAAGTTGATTTTTGTATGTTACATACATACAAAAATCATGTATGTAACAGTGCATGATTTGTTAAAATTTGTTAGTGGTACGTGAAAATGTTGTAGAAGTGATCACTTCAAAATGTAAATACTTGCAGAGATATATAGAAATAAAGCGTTGCATATTGATATTTATGTTTCCTACCTTGTTTCCTAATTGCATTCTTTATAATTATGGTGAAAAATAATTAACATAATTAGTGTCCGTACATAGATGAATATCATTAATTATTAATGATAACACATAATTAAGTTAAACTGAGGAAATTTGTTATTTGAGAAGTGTGTGTCAAACTGGTAGCCCTTCACATTAATCGGTACCCAAGAAGTAGCTCTCACTTTCAAAAAGGTTGGTGACCCCTGCTTTAGAGCTATACCTGTAGCATTCTGCCTATTAGCTTAGCACAACAACAACAAAAAGGCGCTCTCTCACCCAGGAAACAGAGAGAGAGCGTCACACTGTAACCATGGCAACCGTAACGCTTGCGCCTGGAACAACAGAACGTAGCTGTCAAACAAAACCAAACAGTCCTGACCCGCCACAATATGAAACAGGGAAGTACCACCGTGTAATCCATTTATTTCAACAAAGTAACTGTATTCTGAATACCACCTTTTTAAACGCTACCTGTAACGGAATACAGTTACTCATATTTTGTATTTTAAATACGTAACCGCGGTACATGTATTCCGTTACTCCCCAACACTGCACACTTGTACCATCAGATCGAGTCTTTGTGCTGTTCGGCTTCTTGAATTCGTCAGTTCACATTTGAACTTTCACACAGTCATAAACCACATTCCTGGTTTTCTTTGCTTTTTTATGTGTTACATGAAACATTGCAGAACAAATATCCACAGTTTCAGGTTCATTTCCTGTCTGATCAGATAGTGGCAACAAAGAAGGAGGTCTGACGGCGATCTGTCGAAACGTGGCACTCAGACTTCTGCTTTTTGGTTTTTACTCCTCTGGGAAAAAAAGGTTTCACAGAGAGTTTCATCCAAGATAAAATGATTTATTCGGATCCTGTAGCTGCCAAGTGTCACACAGACGATCTCTGATGGGAAAAAGAAATCTGTGAGTCGCAGTAAACTGCACTCGGACAGTAACGTGAACATAACCATCGATAACATGTGACCAGAAGCCACAGCGAGAGTCAGAGTGGCGTCTGAAAGAGGAAACGGCACCACAGTCTGCAATCTGGTATCAGAGCTGCTATCACTGTTTATGAGAACATTACTGGAGCTTGTAGTTGGAGTGACTTACAGCCAAATGGTGCTTTATCAGGATGCGGTGCCCGAGTATCCACTGATGGACTGAACATCCTGCAGACACTGATCGAGTCTCACCAAAGCTTTTTGTTCTCCCTGCGGGACGCGATGGAGTTTCTGCTCCTGATCTTTCTCTGTAAGTGAGATCGTCGCTTTTCTCATTTTGGTTTGTGCCAGTGTATTTTAATAAATAGAAAGAATATAAGTCATCATTGTTTAAAATGGCCTTTTTTAAATTAACATTTTGGGTTATAGTTCGTTATCTATAATTCAGTGTAGTAGCTGTAACTGACGGACTATAATCTTAAGTAATGGTTGTAAACCCAGGCAAAAAAATCATAAACAGATTTAATCAGAAACCCTGCAGTGAAATCAGACAGCAGGTATGTAACAGGTAACAGGTTACGCCTCACTGAAACAGTGAGTCAGGCTATTCACAAACACCTGACGTGTGATACAAACTCACACACAACAACACTCAAACACCAAAATAAGGGACTTTAGTTAAAAGAAAGAGAAATGAGGTTTCAGACTAAACAAAATAACTATATTAAATAAATGTCCGTGTCAGTTCCTTTGCAAACACTTTGAATAATCACAATCACTTAAGGAAAGACTGTCTCAGTATCTCAGACAGCAGAATACTCTCACACTGTTTTACTGCAACCACAAAGTTGTGGCGTTAACGTCATTTCAGATTAACGCTGACAGCACTAGTGGGAACACAACGAATATGACTGCACATTTACTCCGACAGCATCCTCGTGCAAAGACAAGTGGAAGCAGACAAAAACAACAAGCAGCATGCTACAAACTTTACCCGAGTCATTTAGACAGCCGTTAGCACAGGATTCTCCTTATGGGGACCTGATATGTTTAATATGCTGCTGAGAATATAGCCCAGAAGAAGCGGATAGTATAGCTTTTATTTTGGAAAGAGACATTTCTCTGTAATAAACTCTCTTTTCCAAAGATGAGTGATTTCTCGATCAGATAGATTTTTTATTACTTTGTTGTTTCAGCAACATTAAATTTAAAAACTGTACTTTTGAGTTAAAATATATATTTATAATTTTAATAAATGACAAATTAAAAAAGCATGAACATTTTTTTGTATTGAAAAAATATCGAACCGTGACACCAAAGTATCGAACCGAACCGTGAATTTTGTGTATCGTTGCAGCCCTAGTAACAATGTACACCACGATCTTACAACAGGCTGTGAGTAATGCTTGTGCTGTGAGGTCCCTGCTTTCATGTGATTATGAAATAAACAGGTATGTTTATATATGCTGTAACTTCTATAACTGTAACTATATGTACTGTGTATTTGTTATGTACATGTTAGAGCTGGGAGCAGAACCAGATGAACTGGTTTTTATTTACACTGGACCTATACGCACATACATACTATATATACATATGGGGATGTGTACTTGTATATACTATATATACACCTGCACTGGAGTGTTTATATAATGGAACCTGCATGCTTGAAATCACAAGACCCAAATATTTAGGTCAAATATGATCCACAGTTATGTTAATGAAGTTTGTGACTGTTAGGTTGAAATTGTTAAATGTTGTCATTGTGTTACTTAAATGTGTAAGTCTTGGTTCAAACTGTAGGATCAAAGACATTCCTTTGGTTCTGACCCCTTCCCAGCCTGTTGAATGGTGGGGGAGGCTGTAGTGTTTTATTATACGCACATCCTATGTGAGGTTCTGTTTTCTTGTTTAGTAAACTTCCTGCCTTTATGACCCTTTTGGTGAGCAGGAGGTCACACAAACACACCCCAAACACAACACACACACACACACACACACACACACCCACACACACACACACACACACACACACACACACACACGCACGCACGCGCGCACACACCTACCTAGTGCCTGACCATAGGGTTTTTTACAATGGGTGTTTTGTCACGGGAATGTGTGAGGGGAAGCAGATTCTTTGGACTCGTTTGACACCAGGGCAGAGGACTGCTGCCGTCCGGCTCCCTTTGCTATAGCAAGTAAAACCGATCGATTGCTGTTCGTCTTGCTTCGTTAACAGGAAGAAGCTTCTAAACCAGCGAAGCCTGTGGAAGCACAGACCCAACAGTGACACTTGTTGTATGAGCATGTGTGATCAGTACTGTCTGAAATGTAGTGATTAGGATCAATAAGTAATCTTTGTTTGTGTTATGGCCAACAGTGACAAGTCCAAACACGGGGCTAAATAAACTTGGCCCTGCTGAGATGCTCCTGGGAGCCTCTCTGCCCAGAGTTGCGGTAAACTCTTCCTTAACAGATATAGTAGCTCCGCCTGGCAGCAAAGCCAGCAAAGTTGTCAGGAGGATTAATTGTTTGGTTGGTTTGCTGTGCTTGCTTGTGTCTCTCGCTGTATTATACAGTTTTTTCACGTAACGCTGTAACCTGTGTTTAACACGGGCCTGGTGGTCGACACAGGAAGTCATGTTTCCAGAATATTTGTCCCTCATGCTGCACACATTTCATCTGATTTAGGTTAATAATACACACAGGTGTGTGTGTGTGATTATATCAGATTATATTTGAGATGTAAAAAATTTAAAGTTCAAACTGTTTGAAATGAGCTCAGCAGCTGCAGCAGGAATATTTTTTTTAGCATTTTTCAGTAGAACCCGTCTTTACTTTTGTGTTTTATTTAAAAAGACACATTAAGACGAACACTTCACCACAACATGTAGATGTGCCAGATTCACACACACAGCATCATTTTCATCTAAATAACTCTTTGATTTATTTTAAATAACACTTCTAAAGACATAACAGCACGTGGACATAACATTCAGTTAAACAGGCGCCCAGCATGACGTTTGATGGTCCAGTAACTGTTGTGTTTCACACTGTGGTGGGTTTAATGCTCCAGCCTGAGCAGATATAGCTTCAAGTTTTGTTTTAAGCACCAGCTTAGTGCCACCCAGCAGGACCCATGAAACCCAGATTCAGAGTGTGCGCACCGTCAATATCACGCACAGACAAGGTGCAACATACAACACGCTGAAGTGTCTCCATGGCACACAGTTTCACCCCTCCACCACCGAAACGCTGCATCGCTCTACCTCGGGTGGCTGAAACACACAGATGATTGCAGCTGTAAGCACATCAGCTGTTTCCTTCATGTTCATGTTACACATGCATCATGGGAAAACCACACATCTGTGTGCGTGTCTGCGTTTAACATGCTCGACCTCTTTCACATGTTAGATAGTAAAAAGTAAATAGTTCATGCTCACCTTTGCTCACTGCACAGCTGTTAGAAGAACCACAGCAGCTGCTATCAGATATACAGTTAGGGCTGCAGGTGAGCTCCTCGCTGCTGCACCTGCTGAACACCGAGACACCAACAGTCAGCCTCATACCAGAGCATCCTAGGGCAAGTTTCTGAGTTCCCCCGACGATCAGCCAGAGTTACAGGGCTGAGTAAATGTCTCTGAGTCAGAGGGATGCTCAGTGTAAAGTGAACTCTGACTCAGGTTGAACTTTGACTTTGAAACTTCTTCTGCAGAAACATGTTTCATGGTTGTGTTGCCTGCGTCAGTCTGAAATAAGACATGAATGATCGATACAGATACAAAAAGAACATAATCAAATGGCAAAAGCGACACTGGTCCTGCAAAGCTTGACTGACTACTGAGGGACTCGTTTATGGTTCTGTAATTGAAATTTGAGTGTTTTAGCTGTTTTTAGTTCTGTAAGAATGGAACACGGAGCAGGTTATGTAGGGAGGCCTGCAGGGACACAGGACGACCTGCATGCATGATAAACCAGCACAGATGTTTCTCTGCAGACGTCTGAGGATTTATTTTCCTCTCAGCTGAACAGCAGCTCGAGAGCTCTGAACCTTCCACGATTACTCAGCATGTTCAGGTCTGACTGGCTGACGGCTGACAGCTGCACATCGCTGTAGTCTTTGCACCCTGTGATTCTCAGTTTGCTGTGAATGAGCTCCTCATGTCCTGTTTGCACAAACTAAAATAGTGATGGTCTGAGGTTACTCAGCATATTTCCTGTCAGCTCTCATAATTCGTACACTCGTCAGCGCTAGAATAATAATCATAAATTATTATAAATATAAATCAGTAGTAGTAATAACAGTAATAAGATGATGATACGCTCAGAGAAACTTTTTTATCTTCAGGCATTTTTGGTTCCATCACCTGAGATTCACATCTTAAAAATATGTCTCACATATATTTTAAAAACACTTCATTATAAGTGACGTATATTCACTAACCGACTCTTTGACTGTCAGTTGGTGTCACTTTCATCATTATTAGAGCGCTCCCCTTCGCGCTGTTGTAGTTTACCTTCCCTCGGCTGACTGGACGATGTGGAGCGTACCTGTGTTGAAGTAGTGGGTGACCTTGACAGTCCTGTTCAGGGTGGGGTTGTGGCTGAGACAGCTCACGGCCTCGTGACGACCTGCAGGGATGTGCAGGATGCTGCGGGAGCTGTACAGGTGATCGTGGACATTCTGCTTCGTTTCAGTGTTGACGTTCCTGGACTCCACTGCCTGATGGGAGCTGTTATGGAGGAGGACCCACTGTATGTCAGGGGCAGGAAATCCTCCTTGCAGACTGCACACTGCAGACATAGCCTCTGTATTAACGTCCAGCCTGGGCTCCTGGTACGGCACTGAGGAGAGAGGAGAACAAAGGTCACCTTCGCTTTTTTGATTTTTGTAGTGGGCGTTAAACAGGAAAAGGAAAAGCGTTCCAGTATCTGTGCACTAAATATGAAGCTACATCCAGTTAGCATGCATGCTGGAAACAGCTGTCCTGGGTTTGCTAACAACATGAGCGTGCTAGCCATGACAGCATGTTAGCTAAGCTGAGCTAAGCTAATTTGTGTTATTTTTGTTTGTTTTTGTATTTTGCAGTAATTTGTTTGTAATATGTTGGATTACAAAGCAAACAAAAAGGGTTTTTCCTATTTTAAGACATTTTTTTAATCTCATATTGGGAAATGCTTTTGTTATATCAGGTAAAATAATTATTATAATAAAATTTAATGCAAATATGTCAACAACTTTTGATCCTCTGAGAATAGGACAGTGTGCAAATCCAGAATATCAATGATGTGGACTCTCAACACCTC